TAAGATCTCCATATCTATGATTCTGTTTCTGTATCCAGAACTTTCTACGGCTGGGATCTCCTCTCCCACCCTCACCCAGCAGGTAGCCCTCTCTTTATCTACAGAAGCCAGCTGTGAACAGCAAAAGTTATCATCTCCACTTAAATGGAAATGAACAGAGACTTCAAAACATCCAGCCTGTGACTGCTCTCCAAAATATCTGCACCGGGTCCTAGGATCTGTCTTTAATTGTGCAATCACCTACTTACTCACTCTGCAAGTTAGTTTCCATACCCAGTCCTGCACGAGGGTCTGGAGTGGCTAACTGGAGTAGGTCCCTGGCACTCAAATATCTCAAATGCATGGTTTGGGAAGAGCAGAGACGTAACTCAGTGGCACACAGGGGCTGGGATAACATAACGTACAGAGAGCTGTGGAACTACGGAGGAGGGCTGTCAAATGTAAGCGTGGGTCTGAAGGGGTTACACTGAGAAAGTCCTGTTTGGAACCAATTGTAAAGGATTATTCAGTGTGAGGGAAAGTGGAAGGGCACAAAAGCGGGCCCTTCAAGGAGGGGAAATAAACCATATTTTCTACGTAGAAAAAAAACCCTAAAAGATCCCCCACCTCAAAACTGCTCAACCTTACCAATTTGACTTCATCAGAAAAGGTTCTCTTTCACCTGCTAAACAGAGACAGCATCTTTCCATCTTTGCTGAAGCAAGTGTTTAGGTTGTAACTGGCTCCTAGTAGTCACCCTACAAAAAAAAGTGAGAAAAAATGAAAGTCATAAAATATCAATGAAGGCCAGTAAAGTAACAAGTAGTTGCCAACTTTCAAGAATGAAAAGCATCATCAAAATTGTGCATATTTTTATAAACCTATAAATTTCCACTAAAAATAATGACATCTATATTCTTTAAGGAACAGTGCATGTGGGGAGATATTTTCTTCACTTTTCAGCCAAGCATGTGTTTAAGAAGACTTTAATAAATATTAAAACATCACGTGTCCCCCAGTAACAGCGAATCTACACAGAAGAATTTGGTATACACAAGAAGAGCTGGGTTTGCTGAGGAAAACTCATCCTGTACAAAACAAGATGATTGTACCCATATTCTCCCAAGATTATTCATAAAAGCTAAATCCAGTGAGGACTAAATATAACAATTTATTGTCTGTGCACAAAACTAGTTTTGCCTTCATCTTACAATAAATTAACAGAACTAATTCAGCACTATTTTAAATTCTGCTCTATGATCCTGACTGATAGCTAGTTTTCTGTATATGTGATGAAAAATTCTTCACTGCTTTTAATAAAGCCTATTCAGGGTCATTTAACATTCATCCTATTATCATAAGGTCTACCTTTAGTGAAAGTAATACAATTTGAGTTTAATCATTTACCCAGTAAGCATTTATTAAAGGTCTGCTCTGTAATGACCTCTTTGGATTCAAGGGAATGTAGCCGTACTCTCCCCAGAATTTGGTGAAGAAGAAGGGGAGCTATTCACTCCCGAGTCTGTTTCTGTTTTGCTCTATTTCTGATCATCCTTTTCCCTACAATCAATAAACCCATTAGTTTCATAATTCACTCATTTAGTTTACTCTCTCTTCTGCATTTGTCTTGTTACTTCCAGGTATCTCTCCATTTTTCTTTTGGATGGTATTGAATTTCTTCATTTAACTAATTCTACACCTAATGAAAACATTATGTGGGTTTCTGTCCTAGAAAAACAGTCATTTACCCAAATTAAGAATTTGATCATAGCTGCAAGCAATTTAGAAAAAAATCTTAATGAAAAAACACTTTCATCACAAAGAGAGAAACATAGCAAAACTTGTTGCATATTTTATGCCTTTGTTTCTCCATAAAGAAGTTTAATTATTCATATACTACATATGCACTAAGATAGAAGTTCCAAAGATAAAGCCAAAACAAAAGGCACTTAGTCTAGGGAAAATAAATAGTTAAAATTCAATGGGTTCAGGTTATTGCATTTATATTTAATCTCATTTCTGTAAGAAAAAAACATGGAAAAGTAAAAGGTAGAAGATAATTCAGAGAAAACCACTAGTTAAATAATGATGGGACAAAATTAATTAACAGACAATAAAAAATTGAAGGACATTAATACAGAGAGTTTGCTTATGAGAGAACAAATAAAAGGTGGAGCTATAATGATTTTAAGGGTGAATCAGAAACAGATTAAAAACCAAAACGTTTTATAACACTCAAACAAATTCAACTCTTCTGCAGCAAAACCTTTAGATCCTGTACGCAGATTAGAAAGGTTCATAGTTTTGAGATGAAGGTTGCGGGCTGATCTGATTGAACTAAATGTGACAGATCGTGCCGAGGAGGAAAGAATGCTGATTGTGTCTAATTTCACTACGGGAACCCTGGTGCCCAAGCTCTTCCCGGGAGGTGACTGCCCCGGACAGGCCTTCCCAACTCCGTCCTCGCCGCCCTCCTCAGCCCGGCCTGATTCTCCAACACACTCACGCACACAGACACACTCACAAATACCCCCTATCCTAGCACACACACTCATTTTCACATACTGTCACATGTTCTCACAAATACCGTCACACTCATATATACCGATACCCACTGACACACCACACACACACACTGATCACACATAGAGACACACTGATACACACACAGACAGACACAATCACACATACAAACACCCTCACCTTCTTCCGGCTGGCCCTGCAGGTCCCCGATCAGATTCCTTCTGTGCTGCTGACCTTGGCCATCACTCCCCACTTCCTACCTGGCTAAGCCCTCAGAGCACTGCACACCAACCCCACCTGCCTGCCCACCTCAACTAGAAGAGGACTGAGAACAGGAGCTGTGTTTTTTCATAACACCTCCTCCTAGCACATTGCCTGGCTTAGAGTCAGGCAGATGAGACGCTAGTTGAATGTGCCTTTATTGATGATTTCAAGTTGAATGAAACTTCAATTGGGAGTCCTGAGAAATATTCAAAACACGAAAACGGATAAAGACAAAGCAGAGCTGTGTCATCCCAGACACGTCAGGCCTTTCCGCAGATACAGTGCATCGGCCTGCCATTCTGATTTTTGTTAGGAAAGCTTTCAAAACTTTTATAAATTTTCTAAACCAAACTCATATCAGTCTAATGGAAATTGTTTTCAATATATACTCTTGTGGCCCCTGCACATTCTTTCTGTGGAGGCTGGCAGTCCCTCAGGTCCACAACAAGTGTCCATTTGCTTAACCAGGGCCCTGCTGGTGGGCGGGAGATGGGGGTGACGATCACTTCCTCAGTTTCTGAGAAAATGGCCAAGCAGCCCAACCCAGCCTCTGACTCCACCTGGAGGAGGGACCAAGCTCACACGAGAGTCTACTTGTCCTTGACTCAGGTAGACGGTGTACCTCCCACTACAGAGAGCATGGCCCCTGAAATACGCAAACCAGTCCTTCAAGAAAGAAAACGCCCTTGTCAATCAGAACAGGGCACTACGGTCTTCATTACAATAGTACCTGTGGGAGGCTGCATGCTCTTTTTCTTGATTTTCTGACAATATTCGAGGGTCTCGATGAACCTGAAAAGGAATGACAAGTCTGCCTTGACATCCCATTGGCCAAACCTATTTTTGATGCTAAGGCAGCAGGACTGGCCCCGGAGCAAATGTCCCAGAGTCCCAGTGGTGTTGGCTGGGCAGCAGAGCGGTTGGCATTTAATCCACGGAGTCAAGAACCTGTCACACATGGCTTTTTATGGGGAGTTTAAAATGCCAAGCCAAAGGTTGGTGTGTCATCCACAGAAAGCAAGAAAAGATCTGAAGGAAATCTTATTAAACTGTTCTGGTGTAGGTTTATGCTTCGTGGAAAAGTCCGACATTTCTCTGGGCAGGTGTCCATGAAGAGAGTTCTTGATTAATTTCATGCAGGGGTTTTGGAGAGCTTGGCTCAAATTTTTCCACCTCCTATTCTTTTTGAGATCTCTGCATATTCAAAACAGCTAGAAAGCCCAGGTTCCAATGTGGTCTTGGTGCTGACCAATGGTGGGGGGGTGCTCTGGGGCCCAGGTAGGAATTCCAACCCTTAGTCACCCCACCTACACAAGGCTTGTATTCGAATCTAATTGACTCATGTTTGTGAGAGTGTTAGACACTACAAGACTCTGTACATGTCAGGCACTCTAATGTCTCAAGCAAAGAAAAAACTTGAGAACATAAGAAATTGAGAAGCAACCCTGGCTGGGTAGTTTAGTTGGTTAGAGCATCGTCCTGATATGCCAAGTTTGCAGGTTCAGTCCCCTATCAGGACACATACAAGAAGCAACCAATGCACATACTAATAAGTGGAACAGCAAATTGAGGTCTCTCTTTCTCCCCAAACAAAATCAATCAATCAATCAATAAAATATATTTTACAAATACAGAAGTTGAGAATTCACAGGAGTAAAAAAGTGATTATCTAATCAGTATCTTAGATAATTGGCATTTGCTAAATGCGAATAATACTTTTAGTAGCCTATCCTCAAATTTTTTAAAATAAGGAAAAAAACCCATCACGTTCTGCTGCTCTCTGAACCACTGACATTCAGACAGACCACGAGCCAGACCTTCAGCCCACACAAGTCTGTCACATTTAGCAACATCTCCTTGCTTAATCTACTCTGACATTTTCAACTATTTATTACATATTTCCTTTTACATTTAATTAATTTTTCTAAGAAATTCCCCTTCTAAAAATCAAATCACTCTAAAATATACCACATAGTAGGCAAATATTCCATTTGTTATTTTCTGAAAATAAGTCGAAGCACACTGAAATAATTGAAACTCACCTTAAAATATAATGTCCAACTATGGGAAATAGTTGCAGGGATTTTTTTTCTTTTCATATCTTGAATATAGCTTTTTGGTTTTCCTGGGATAGATTTTTACTTTCACTAATCCCCCGGGGCAGGGGTCCAGGAAGCCCTCCTCCCCACCCCCTGGGCAGCACTGCCTGACTCTGCCCACCTGGTCCTTTTCAGAGCTGGAGGCCGAGGACTGGTGCAAGCATCTCTGCATGGAGTGTCTGGGGACCAGGCTGAACGACATCAGCCTCGGGGAGCCTGACCTTCTGGCGGCAGGCGTGCAGCGTGAACAGAACGGTAAGTGACAGTCGCCTTCCGTCATTGTAAAGTCCACTCACAGTCATAGAACTGTAAGACTGAAAAGGAGCCCAGAAAGGTTTCAGACCAGTTGTTTTTCAAGGAAAGTGAACTGATCAAGCTGAGCTAAGAGACTTTCGCACAGCAGCTGGAAGCCTGCAGACTTCGTCCTTTGTGACATTGCTATTTATCTGAATAAATAATACATTAACCCATCATATATAAAGTTTTGAATGTACAACATGCTTATATTTTCTTCTTTGAGAGTTGTTGGATGTTAGCATCTATACGAACATATTTGGCTTACGTCATTTATCAACTGATTTTAGGGAATTTGGTGAATACAACAGTCTTGGCTTAGAATGCCATAACAAAATACCATAGACTGGGTGACTTGAGCAGCAAGAATTAATTTCTCATAGCTCTGGAGGCTAGAAGTCCAAGGTTAAGGTGCCAGCAGGGTTGCCCTTTTCTGGCTTACAATAATCACTTTCTTGCGGTGATCTCACGTGACACACAGAGACAGAGGGTGGGGGGAGTGCTCTTGAGTTTCTTCTTATAAGAATCCCATTACAACGGCCCCACCCTTATGGCCTCATCTAAATTTATTTCCAGAGACTCCATTTTTACATACCATCACTTCCGAGGGTCAGAGCGTCAGTATATGAATTTGGGTTGGGATGGAGGGCGTGGGGCGCAACTCAGCCCACAGCAAGCATGATTAGGACAGTATAGTGGCCGACATGTCAGGGTATACTAAAATCGAGCTCCACGTGGCACACGGAATGCACTTCCTGAATTTACTTCCTACACTGTTCTATAGTTTAACAGGCATTTCTGAAATTTCTCAAGAACTTATGCTGCAGGTTCTTGACTAACAGCTGTAAATAATGACATCAGAGCAATATAATGAACTCCTCTTTCTCCATTAAAAACAATATTTTCCTCACCATCACATGATCTAGTGGTATGAAAATGGAAATGTTTCAACGTTGCTAATTTGCAGTGGCCAGTGTTCGAAAAAGTTGACAGATATTGGCAACGCTTGACACTGTTATTAAAGAGACATCCTGGAATGACGTGTGGTTTTTCCTTTAGACAGAACAGGTAGGAGGCCTGCATCACGGTAACACTTGTTGGTTGTGATCCGGTCACGACTAGTAATGTTCTAGTAACCGTCACTGCCTCGCAGTCCGTGAAAAAGCATTACCTTCCGTTTGTTGCTAAACTGGAAAGCAAGTTTTCTGCACTAATTGATCACAAACACCTATGGGCACAAAACACGGCCAGTGCCCACAGTCTTCGGAAGGTCACAAAGGCAGCTCCAAGGCTCCTCTCCTCGCCTCCTTTTTCTGTCGCAGCTTCTCGTCCACTCTCTGGGACCTCAGCCCCCTCTGCAGAATGTCCATAACCACACTGTTCCATAGGCTGCTCAGTTTCAGAAAGAAAGGGGAAGAACTGTGACCGAGAACACTTGTCAAGTTCAACAGGAAAGAAATTCGAAGAAAGCCACTAAATTAGGCCTCCGAGGGGAGGCATTATCGTGTGTCTGCTTGGGGTGAACTGTGTGCTTTGATTTTAACTTGGGGGTTGCATATGGTTTCTATGCAAACGGATAATGCAATCCTTTGAGTTATAATTTCTATATCTAACTCGATAATAAAGTAATTTGCCTAATACATAAAGGGAAATTTTTAGTAAATTTTTGTAGGATAGGACAAACATAGAATTCAATGCCAGACCCACATTTAAAAATAAAAGCATAAGCCAACGGTGCCTGAAAAGCCATCTTCAGGCCACAGGAGAAATGCAGGCTCCTCCCCACAGACAAGACACGCTCTTCTAGTTTCGGTTTCCTCGTTTCAGCATGAAAATGAACACTCACTCACTCACGGGGCTGTCATGATGGCGAAATGAGACCCTGTAACATCAAGACAGACTCTCGTGCTTAGCTCAACTAAAGAATCATGAGTGTCTTTAAACACGAATAGAAAGAAAGAAATCAAAAATAATTCTGGCATGTACTTGAGAGAAGATCTGAAATTATAAAGCTGTCCTTTTTTAACTTCCAATCACCATTCTGGAAGCTTCAAGCTGAACACCTCTTAAACTTCTTCACTCCCTAATACATGCTTGAATGGGAATAAATCCTTTATGAACTATTTGTCATTAGTTTTTTTTCCCTTAAGGCATTTTGGTTAAAATACGTAATTCACTCTTCATCAGAAATAGTATTTTACTATTTTACTAATGATGTGCTTGGGTCCCCTTTGAAATTTCTCCTACACAATGAGGTGCACATGTGCACAGAACTGAGGTAATAAATTACACCACGGTGGCTCGTGTGTTCCAGTGCTGTCCTGCCACCAAGGACAGACTCACTGCTCGGCCGCAACCACAGCCTTCTTTCGACGTTCAAATTGCTGTTTTTCTTCTGCTATGTTTCTGACTCTTCAGACCATTTGATCTCATTTACTGGAGACCAGCTAAGAATGAGCATTTGTGCAAATAATTTTTAAAGGGGTAATGCATGTTGCTGAGATACAAGTAGTTAGGGTCTTCACATTTTTTAGTGGTTTTTAAGATAGCCTACAGTGACCTTAGAAAATATTAATGTATGGTGTTTCAATCACAGTTATTTATAAAGGATACACAAGACATAAAAACGATTCTAGAGAACAAATGTTAGCTATGAAATGTTAATGGGGAGGCCGTGTCATGACTGGGAAGCACCTCACTTGTAGGACGTTCCTGCAGTTGTTGTTAGAAGTGGACTCAGAGACCAGGTCCAGCTTGAAAGTGGTGCAAGGGAGCAGCATCCGGAAGAAAACGGACGAGGGACGGCAGACGGCCACCTGGTTCACGCAGTGTCAGAGCTGAGGGTCTGGTTTCGTCCAGGACCAAGTGTCCCTGCCTATGCACACACTAGACTTGGCAGGAATTGCTACTTTCAGCCTAAAAATGATTACAGCCTTTCTTCAGAACCAAATCAGTATTCCAGCACTGTTTCTCAATTATTTACCTGGGTTGTCCTAGCAACCATGCTCCTTGCCTTCCCCTCAGACACCCTTACATTTATTCACTCATTCATTCACCTGCCAAACACTTTTGAGGCTATATTATGCAATAACTGAGTTGAGAAAGGGTAGAATTGTGCAGAATATAGTCATTAGTTTTAAAAAAACCCGGAGTAGTGAGGGAGACGGACCTATGAACAAAGTGCATCATTGTTCTGTGAAAATGCTGTGTTGCTGGTCCCCCAACCCCTCAGCAGCACGGAGCTGGGCTTATGTCTTCATGCTTTGTGCACGGGCCAGGGCTCAGCTGATGAAGGTTTCGGTGCTGCCCAGCTTGACTTCAAGCTACAGAGGGTGCTCATGTGTTCCATGTGTCTCATCCTCCTTCTACTAATGACTACCCAAAGCATATTTCAAACAAAAAACCAGTACAGCAAGTCAGTAAGCCCAAACTTGCAACACAGTGGTAACCCTCTGCATGGCTCATGTCCACGGACGTTTCATTGGTCAAAGCAGATCCCATGGCCAAGCCTCACGTCCAGGGGCACTGAGGTCACTCCACCTGTGAGGGAAGAACCAGTGACCTACTGTGGAGAAGAAGTGAATGATAGAGAAACAGACCTGGTCTGCTGTTTGCGGTATAATAAAATACAGACTGGGATGGAAATAAAGGCACTTTTGTGTCCATATGGTCCATTCGAATCAGAGCAACCTAGCTTCTGGGGTTCTTTAAATTATGTTTTATTCCCCCCAAATAAGCTTTCTCCATCAGACAGGTCAGAAATTCAGAACGCCCATCAGTAGTTACAGCAAATATTCACAGGGCTTGGCTCCACTGGCAACTGTCCAGCTAATGACAAAACAATGACAACAGTAGCAATGGACCTCTCGCTATTTTAAACGCCTTCATGACAGTTTTTCAAAAATGATCAGGGTAAACCAAAGCCACTCTTACACACATTCTTTATAAACAGTAACAAAAGGGGTTTCCAGGCTTTTACCTGTCATTCATAGGATAACAGTGAGCAAAACCAACTCTTTCTTGGGAAAAGAACTTGTGCAGACCTATGTTTCCACTTCTAGTCGTCCCCAAGCGAATTCCAGAAAAGACCACTACGACCACAGCACGCTCTCTGAAGTGGAGGAATCGGTGGGGGAAGGTAATACTCTATAACACTGCCGTGGGTTAAGTTGTGTTCCCCCCAAGAGACCTATCAAAGTCCTAACCCTCAGCACCTCAGAACATGACCTTGTTGGGAACAGGACCTTTACAGAGATGACCAAGCTTCAATGAGGTCATGAGGATGAGCCCCAATTCAATAGGACATTGCCTATTTCCTAATAAAGTGAGCCCTATAAAGGGGGGAACTTTGGATGCAGGAAGGATGATGTGAAGACACATGGAGAGCACACGGCCACGTGACTAGAGTGAGGTGTCCCTAGGCCACGGGCTGCTGGCAGACACAGAAGCTGGAAGAGACCAGGAAGTTTCTCCCACTGGAGACTTCTAGAGAGCCTGGCCCTGCCGGCACCTTGATCCCGGATCCCTGGCATCTAGAACTATGAGATGCTAAATTTCTGTTATTTCAAGGCACCTGGTTTTTACAATACAACATGCACTTATGAAAAGAGCCCTCAAAACCCTAGGACTAGAAGTGGACTTTCTCAGACCTGATGAAGGACATCAGTGAAAACTGCCATTCTGCAAAATCTTGCTTGAAGGTGAAATACTGAATGCTATCCTCATATGACTGGAAATAAGTAAAAACATCCTCTCTCACCACTTCTATTCAATATTCTGTTCTACTAAAGGTCCTAATTTGTATAATATAACCAAAAAATAATAAAATTAGGAAAAATAATAATAAGCTAGGATTGTGTACCTGGAAAATTGCAAGGCATTTATAATAAAAAACTACGACTAAGTAAATTCAGGGATATTGTTGAATAAGAAGTTAATATGCAAAAACTTGTGTATACGTATGTTATATATTATAATTTATACATTTACACACATTAGCAATAGACAAAAACATTTGCAAAATGAAATACAAAACATCACGTATTACCTCATCAAAAACTCATTTACTCAGAGATAAAATTGGCAAAGTATATAACCCTATCTCAACCCTGAAAACTAAATATCACTGAGAGAAATTAAGAGCAGTCTAAACAAATGAAGCCATAAACCAGGTTCACACTTGCAATATTCAATATTGCCAAGAAACAGTGACTCCAACTATCAAGAAAATGTCTGAAGAGCCCATTGTCCTTTTTTCTTCTGTTTGTTTCCACTCACCGGATGGCGCTTTTGCTTCCTGTCGGAAACCCCGTCTTCTGAGACCCTCTGCTTCCTGCTATAGCAGCGTGCCCCCCTTCCCTCCACCTGCCAGGCTCGGCCACATCTCTATTCATGGTCTGTGTGAAATCACAGCAGCTGAGAAAGGAAGGCATTGACCCTTCTGGGACTGACGACCCACACATAGCCTGGGGCTTCGCTGTCCCTTTTCCCAAGTCAATTCTCCTGAGTGCACTGCCCTTCTCGCCAGACCCTGTCCAATTCGATTCGACTGAACCTTGTCTAGTAGTTCCCCTGAGACCATTATTGTGGTTGGGACTCTAACCCTATATCCCCACCTTGGGGAACACAGTCCTATTTCATTGGATCACTTAATGCAGCCTGGGTGTGAAAATGGTCTTGTAAGTGTAACTGCAGATTCAGTAATAGTAAGCATCTTTGTGGGACAGTAGTTTAATAAATATTTGACCTTGTTACTATTTGGGCCATTTAAAATACAGTGATATTTTCTCATAGATGAGCCACTACATGAAGCTAAGTTTAACCAAAATACAATTTTGTGGACAATTCTATAGTTTATATGTGTGAATAGGTTTTGCACTAATATATTTTATCCTTCAAAAATGTATTTATTCACACATTCAGCAGCCTTCACAACACTTCATATTATAGAACTGTTATTTATGTTTTAGAATATTATCTTTGTTTAGAGAACTACTTCTTTTTAAATTTGTTTTAGATGCACGGTTCTATGTTGTTTGGTGCTCCTTAATAGTGTTTTTTATTGTTGTTGTTGGTTATCTGAAAAGAAAATAGTTGGAACACGCACATCTTGATGAACCGTAAACAATCATACACCTCCTTTCTTCCAAGCCTCTCTTCCTTCCTTTGTCCCATTGGCATATTTGGCAAATAGTCGTGAGTTGCCTGAGATGGGATTGATTTATTTGAGCAGAGATAAGAGAGTAGTTTTGAATGAAATGTGCTGGTTTGTTCTCCTGGAATCCATTCTTCATGGGTTCTCTAATGCTACTACTTCTTGCCCAGATGCTAATATGAGTTTCACAAACCAGCAGTTCTCCAATTGTGGCCCCCTTTGCGGCAGCAGCTATGCCCCCTGGGAACAAGTGGAAATGTAACATATTCAACCCCAGTCCAGACCTACCTGCAATGTCAAAGACGGGAGTGGTGGAGAATGGCCACCCTCCGTGTCTTAACAAGCCCTTTAGGTAATTTTGATGCACAGTAAAACCTGAAAATTGGTTCTCTAGGTAGTAAAAACCCAATGTAGTTCATAAATAAGAAAGTGACATGGTTAGAGAAATGTTTAAAACAGGTGCCTGATAAAATTATTTCACAAAAATAAATGAAAGTTGTTTTATTTATTTAAAATAAAAGTCATTTTAGTGGAGCCAATTTTAACTATAACATATTGAAATGGTTTTTCCAATGGGAAGTATAGTGAATTGGAGAAAACAGCATGCTTTACATTCCCAAGGGCCTACATGAGTCATTCAGAGCAAGCACGGAAACCTTCCTTCCCTTAGGATGGACTATGAGGAAATATAATTTACTGGATAATTGATGCGCTGCTCTCATCTCTATGTGCCCAGTTTTCTGCTGCGTGACATTAGTTTCATTTTTAATTGAATCTCAAATCCTTAGAAATTAGTTATTAGGGGAAGATAGATTTGAATATTTAAAAATTGAAAATAAAAATTTTTAGGATAATTTCTCCTTAAGATGCAAGCAGTAGCATTAAAAGGACAATTGGGGCATTCTGAACCACAACAGGAAGGGGTTAAATTAAGTTGCGAGGTAACTAAGTGTGTGAGGACTGGGACATGTGAAGGCAGGCAAGGCAGAAAGGCCACCACAGGTCCATTCCACCTGCATTATGTTGTCTGGAGGTGGCTTTGGAAGAGCTCCTTTGGGGCCAGTCATTCAATCACTTTGTATTTGCTTGTAAATATCTAGAGCCCTCTATTATGTGAGTCACATTAAATTCACTTATGTGTTATTTTCCAGCTTCCCCCTGTGTCTACCTTGATGATTGCACTCTGTCCCTCTTCATTATTGCTGGCGTTAACCTGCTCACACTGGAGCTCACAGATATTTCCATGAACACTTGCTTTTTATAGGCCTCTGATGATCATATATAATGTTTCCCGTGCCATCCACATGAAGGACATCTAATGTCTGGATTATATTTTTACATCTATATTCATTTTTCAAATATCAGACTGTGGGTATGAATATCAAGGGCCAATGTGGCCTTAAGCAATAGTAAAATTGATGAATGATGTTAGTTTATTTCAATATTTTAGAAGAAGTGTTGATGATTCTTTGGTTGCTAACTTCAGACCCTGGAATTGATAGAAAGGAAGGAATTCAGAGGAATGTTTTACTTTCTATGTTTATAGCAATATTTTCTTTATACACAACAGATGCCACTGAAATAGCATTATTCCCCAGTGTAAAAGCTGAACTCCATCTTCAGGGTCTTGACCAAGAAAACTAGACCGCAGTGGGGCATCATCTGTATTCTTGAGTCACTCTGTTTGGTCCAAGTTTCATTTACACTCTTATATGAGATCATGCCCCTTGGATTTACTCCTTGTAACCCCACTGGTGTGGGAATTGTGGTGGCAATGTGAATGATGTGTGTATTTAATGCTAAATGTTGATACTGTACTTGGTTGCCCATAAGAATCTTAGAATTTATAGAATATATGTGTATGCCTTTTGTTGCATATAATTAATAGGGCAGTGTTCTCTCTTTATTTTTCAGCTATAAAATTTATCTCATTTTGTCTTTAGGAAATGAATGTGAAAGGATATACAAATTAGTTTTACAGATCAATAATCTAAGTAAAACATTGAATCATTAGATTATTTCAGTCAAAAATACCTAGACACTTGATTATAAATATTGTTCACATGGTTAATAAATTCTAAGCTATTATGGTTCAATTACATTTAAACCATTTGGAATCTGATTTTTCTTTTGCATCAACAAATCTTTATTCAGCAAAACACCTGCCCCAGAAAAGATTCTTTCTGTTACCCAGACAGTGCCAGCTCAGCACAAGCAAACCGTCAGTGTTTACAAGCGAGGCGTTCTAAAGGATGATAGCATGTTCCTAACGTATCGATCCTTTACCAACCGCAGCTTCACCATTGAGCCTTTCAGAGTCATTCATTTAACAGCACTGCCTATAATGCACTCCTCACAGTTAAATTCAACCTCACCAAGATTTCCCTGCCAGTAACTCTTGAAATTCTTCTTATCACGACTCATTATTTGTTTATAATTTTTGAACTCTAGCAACTCATATTTATTATGGTGATGTTTATTTCATTCATCTAGTTAACCAATATTTACTGATCACTTACTTTAGACTAAGACTAGGGTGCTAGGAATGAGGATATTCAACAGGGCACTTTGTAGGTCATCCTGCAGTCCTTACTTCCTAGAACTTACAAACTAACCTCATTCTTCAAAATGAAGTGCATGTAATGCATTTAAATGGGGGTCAGGGGCTATAGAATTTTGTGATAGCCTTTAAGGTACACAAAAAGTTAGTAAACTAGGTTTGGAGTCAATGCCTGATTATCAGATTTTCAACTACAAAATATTCAGGAATGGAAGCAGTTGAATATTTTTATTTTTGCTTACCAAGTCAACCTCTGAAGTTCTCCAGAAGGCAGTAATGAATACCTGCCATTATTATATGTGGAGATGGATGATGAATACAATGTGTTTTGAGAGTCAGTCTGAGTGTGCATGGAATACTTCATGCCGCAAAGGTGAAAAGGAGTGAATTCTTGCTTAAATTAACTGAGACACTCCTCTCAGGAATTGTGTCTATGGCATCCACTTAAGACATGTGAAGAAGCAGATAGTAAGCACCATTTGGGCTAAAACCCACTTAGCTCTTTACCACTATGTCTCCAACATGTGATGTAACCATTTAATCCCCACCATAGAGAATGCAGGCAACAAAAAGTTGTAGAATGAGTGAGTGGATTAATGCATGATTAAGAATACTTTAATTAACTCCTTCTTTCATACACCACAGGGGAGGAAAGCAATGTTTTTCAGTGTACACTGATGTCCGCAAGGACATGGAACCACTCTGAGGACAAGGTAATCTGGTGCTGCTGTGTTCATGCCTCTTTTCTCCACTCTTTGCTTCCCTACAGAACGATTCAACGTTTATCTGATGCCTACACCGAATTTGGATATTTATGGTGAATGCACAATGCAAATCACTCATGAGAATATCTATCTCTGGGATATCCACAATGCCAAGGTCAAACTGGTGATGTGGCCTCTCAGCTCACTGAGGAGATACGGGCGGGACTCGACATGGTTTACCTTTGAGTCAGGAAGGTAAGTGCCAAGTGCAGTGACCAAGGGTAGGACGTATGTGGCAGGCAGACTCCTGAAGGAAAGGCTCCATCCACCAGTGCCCATGGTGGCTGTTGTTTGTATAAAAGGTACAATTCACACAATGCATAAAGATTTTAGTTTATAGTTTAAAAATTGTATCAATTCTATGGTTAGGTAATTACCCCATTCAAAATAATTTCAGTCTCTTAGGCTCACATCAAACTGGTTTCAAAATTATTTAAATCAGTATAGTTTGTAATACTATGACAGTATTACATTTTACTATATTTTTAGTACACTAAGATTCCCATAAAATTCAACATGTCCTTGCCAGCATTATTTTGTGAGGGTTTTATATGCAGACAACTTTGAAAGAAGTTTTACAGAAAATTGTTTAAATATTACTTTTGGGGTTTGAAATAAGTTAATGAATATCCATCTATCCAGGTGTTTATGTGAATACCATGAGTAAATATAAATATTAATTCAGAATAACTGAACGCATGTTGGAAAATCCATAGTTTATGTCATGGGCAACTCAGATTTTAAACTTGGCATGCCAAGGTAAATACGTTGGTTTCTTGATGATGGCACAGGATTGGAATCCATAAATGTCTGAAATGAATGCTTGCTTCACCATCAGTATTCAGAGACACAGTTTAAACAGGAGCGTCAACCAACTAACTCGTTGTCTTTATGCTATGATGCCTGTGTGCTACTGTTGCCAAGCATCCAAGACAAGATCTGGGTTTGGGGATTCTATATGAGAGATGTTTAATGTCTCAGTATTCACACTGGAGGTGTGATTTATCACATTCTGATCATGAATTTGTGGTGCTGTACAGTAATTACAGGAAAGTTTTGTTGCACTTGATATAGCCATTTAATTTCATAAGTTTCCTTCTTACGAAACTCTTAAGTACTTAGTCAAAGTCAGATTCTATAATAATCCATCCAGGGTAGACCAGATGTCTTTTAACATCTTAAGAGAAAATCAAGAAGCTTGAGCAGAAGTAATTTTATGAATTTGGAGCCTTTTTGCACTAAGGTAGCATTAAAGTCTCTACCACACCAATTTCTACAAAAACCCCCAATCTTGTGTTTACTTTGTGGCGGGGAGTTCACCCAGCTGTCTAGCTTTATCTGCCAAGATATCAACAGTGGAAATGTAATCACATTCAAGATAAGTATTAGGAAATAAAAATTCTCATAAGAAAATAAAAAATTTTAGATATGCACACTATTTTAAAAATTGCATAGCTATGAAAATTATACTTTTGCAGGTTAGAGTTTCACTGACTCTTACTTACATTTATGATACATCATTTTTGCAGGCCTTAAAAGTTAATGTATGTATATAAAAAGAGAGAGTGTATTTTTCATCATTTAGCAACACTACCTCGAGGGTACCCTTGCCTGGATCTTTCTCCTGGGTTCTCCTATTTTCCTGTTTTACATGGACACTTCACTACCTTGTCTGCTTCCTCATTTCAGTAGGTACCTCAGGGTTTTCAAAAACAAGTAGTTATTTTTGAGAGTGGTTGTGCAGAAATTTCACTCCATGGGTACCTGTCTACATTCCTTTTTACCTTGTTCTCTAAAACTTTTTAGGGGGAATGTACTGACTCCTCATAGGTTTTTAAATTGATTTTCTCAACCAAAACATCAAATTACTTGACGTGCAATCTGGCTTATCTGACATTCAATATTAATTGGGTTTTTTTTATCTTGCTGATTTTTAATAATTTTAAAATACATGAAAAAACATAAATATATCAGTATAGACAGTCCAAAATCCTCAAGGTTTTTCTGTTTGGTTTTTATTTTTCTTTGTTTAGGCTTCTTTGTTTTGGTTTTGGTTTGGGTTTAGAAGGTAATATTTAGCTTCTTTGCAGAAAAAAATCTCTTAAAGATCAAATATCTCAATGTCTAGAAATCATGTTGACACTCATAATTCTGTGGGCCCTGGGAATTAGGAAACAGTAGATTTACATCAGAGCTCTGCCACTTGTTAATATTTAGCTTACGCCATTTAGCCCCTCTGGCTTTTAGTTTTCTTCTTTCCATCAGGAAAATTCTCATCTCTATTTCCTAGATGTGTGTGGAGAACTTGAGTGACTTAGTGAATATAAAGAGGCATGCACGTTATTGTCACAAGGTGACCACTGAAGAATTATGATTACCTACTCTTTATCAGAATTTACAGAACTTGCCACTTTCTAGTTTCTGAATGAAGCTTGTACTTAGATATAGAGAACTCTCTCTATAAAGAACTCTGCTGAGATATAGCCTTAGCCAAAAACACGAGAAATGTGACGAGAGGGAAACCAAGCAAAAAGCTTGGGAGAAACTTGCATTCTGATGCTGGATAGATCATTATAAGCTCAATGTGTGGAGTCAGAAGTTGGTGTCTCCTGTCATGAGTCAGGAATTGGAGGCCAGGGGAGAATGGGAAGGTACAAGAAGACATTGGAGCACAAACAAGGGTCAGGGGGAACCAAGTGGCTGTCTTTATACTAACTGGTGCTCGGAACAAGATTTACAACTTAATAGCCTATTTTTGAAGAATCAGCAGATACACCAAAACTCTCTAATTTATAGTGTGTAATTCTTCGGAATGAGATCACACTCAATATTATTGCCTATGGAGAAATCAGAGTGCATAGCAATGAAAATTAAACTTCTTTAATGTTAAAATATTAAGGGAAGAATATAAAGTAATCTCGACCAAAAGCTACTAAAACTTAGAAGTGAATTTAGCAAGATTTCAGCATATAAGATCAATACACAAAAATCGATTTTATCTTATATATGATCTATGAGTAACTGGAAGGGAAAAAATTTTAAATACCTCTTATAATGTCATCAAAATATGAAGTATAAATAGGTCATTTAACAAAAAATGTGATAGAGCTGTACATTAAAAACTATAAAATAACTGAGAAGTTAAAGAAGACCAATCTAAATGGAGATATGTGTCATCGTCATGAATTTGAAGACTCTGCATTAAGATGAAAATCCTCTCCAAATCAATTTATAGACTCAATATATTCACAATAAAAAAATTCCAGCTGACTTTTCTGAAGTAAAAGACAAGTTGAGTCTAAAATGTGTATAAAGTTGCAAAAGACCTAGAATAGCTAAAGCAATTTGGAAAAGAACATATCTGATGGATTTCCACTACCCAATTTTAAGACTTGCTATAAAGCTGCAATAATCCAGACAGTATGGTATTGACATCAGGGTAGACCTAACAATCAATGGGAAAGAATGAAGAACTCAGAAACAGACACCTATATAGAGAGCCAATTTAAATTTTAAAATATGCTGAAGATATTCAGTATGGAAAAGAAACATCAGTGATGGAGTGATTGGATACCACAAGGGAGAAAAATGAACTTCAGCTCTTATCTTGCTGCTATGTACTAAATTGTGCCCCCAAAACTCATACATTGAATCTCTAGCCCTGCATATGATGGTGTTTCATGATGGGGCCTTTGGAAGATAATTCAGTTTCAATGAGGTCATGAGGGTAGGATCTTTATGATGAGATTAATGACCTTAGAAGAAAAGACACAGCAGAAAGCTGTTCTCTCTCTCCTGCCATGTGAGGACGCAGGGAGAAGGTGAACATCTATTGGACTCGCCAGGAAGAGAGTCTGCACCAGAAACGGACTCATCTGGCAACTTGATCTTGGAATTCTAGCTTCCAGAATTGTGAGCAAATGAATTTCTGTTCTTTAAGCCATCCTGCATATGATATCTTGTTATGGCAACTAAAGCTGACTGATACACTTCACCATACCCCTCAAAATAATTTAAAATGGGTATGGATCTCAATACATAAGCTGAAACTATAAAACTTATAGAAGAAAACAAACAAAAATATTTGAAACAAACAATGATTTCTCCAGCGCTGCACCAAAAACATGATCTATAGAAAAAAAATTATTGAGAAGTTGGGCTTCATTAAAACAAACAAGTTCTACCCATCAAAACCCATCCTAAAGAAAATACAAAGGGAGAAGCATAAAAAGGGGAAAAGCTCACAAAACATGTATCTAATAAAGAACTAATATTCATCATCCTTTAGGAACTCTTTCAACACAAAATAAAACAACCTCATAATAAAATAAGTAAAACAATTTGGACAGGTCACAAAAGAAGTTATACTGATAAACAGTATGTCCAAGAAAAGACGCTCATCTTCATTAGTCACAGAGAACTATAGATTAAAACTACAAAGAGACACCAGGCCATTGTCTCCCCGACAAAACAACAACAAAACACCTGAGAATGTCCAGTGGAAATGAAGTAACCCTGACCCTCTCTCATAGCTGATGGGAATGAAAATGGAACATCACTTCAATTAATAGTTCAGTATTTTTTACACATACCATATGACAAAGCACTGTTACTCCTAGATATTTACCCACCAACCATCCAAAAACAACATATAAATATTTGTGCCTGGGGGGGTCAAAACAGCTGTACTTGTAACAGTCCAAAACTGGAGACAATCCAAATGGCCATCAATACAAGAGTCGATAGACAGATTAGGACACAGTTATACCACAGAATACGGTACCTACCAATGACACACAACATGGATGAATTTCCAACACATTATTCTAAGCAGTATGCACGATTCCATTTGCAGAAAATTGTACAATAGCACAGCTAATGTATAATGACAATGAGAAGACCTGGAGTGGCCTGCACATGGAAGTTGTGTGGGGACAGACTGCAAAAGGGCAAACGTGAAATTTGAGAGGTGATGAAAGATGCCCTGTGTCCTGACATGTATTAAAAAAACCCATGGAACCATTTATTAAATACTGGCTTTATTATATGCAAATTATACCCCAATGCTTTGAAATTTTTTTTAAGATTGTGGATAAAGAAAGGAGGGGCTCTACTCCCCCTATATTTTTTATGCTATTTGGATGTTTGAGAACAATTGTTTGGTACTTCTATAATACAATGCTTCCCTGGCAAGA